TTTAAAAATTATTATAATGTTTAACAATAAAATTTAGTCTCTTGAAAATACATATTACTCCCAATATGGGGGGGGGGGAGGAGTTAAAGAGTTGTCCTGGTTCTTCACCGTCATAGGATTGCTGCAGATATTTATGGCATTTGTTCCACATAACTCAGTTACTTCCCCAGTGGAGTCCAAATGCTACCATAACTCAACTAGTTGTCATAGAGCTGACTGACTCGGGACAGCCTCATGTGGGTCAGAGTTAGAATCGTGCACCACAGGCTTTCTAGGGGCTGATTTTTGGTGGTGGATTGCCAGGCCTTTCTTCTGAGGCACATTTGGGTGGACTCAAGACCCTCCCCTTTTGGGTAGCAGCTAAGCACATTAACCATTTGCACCACCCAGGCAGTGGCATACAGGTATAAAATAGTTTGACAAGTAGCACCTCCTTGTTTTCATGCAGTGCCTGGTCACGGTAGAGCTACGTAACTCCATATGGTGGCATAGTCCCTGCAGTTCTTATGCTCAGCCCTGTGCTTGCCCAAAGGGTTCTCCACCCGAATTTGTGATTTGCATGCCCCTCAACTGCCTGATAGAGGAGGAAGATCAAGCTAAAAAATTTTAAGAAAGTAATTTAATAGATAACAGAAAAAAAAATACCAGCCAAGAAAAGAGATTTTAATGGGTATTTTTCTGTATATTTATGAAAAGGAAATTATCAAGCAATATCACTAATATCACATGCAAACAAGATATTTTGCTGAAAATTATCCAAAAAGGCCTGGAACAGCACATCAGCAGAGAATTGCCAGATGTGTAGGCTGGGTTTAGAAGAGGCTGTGGTACTAAGGATATTATAGCTAATGTCAGATGGATTTTGGCTGAAAGCAGGGAGTACCAGAGGAATGTCTATAGGTGCTTCGTTGACTATGTAAAGGCATTTGACTGTGTGGATCACACAAATTGTAGCTAACTCTGAGAAGAATGGGAATCCCAGAACACTTGATTGTGTTTATGTGAAACATATACTTGGGACTATGAGGCAGTTGTCAGAACAGAGTAAGGAAACACTGCATCATTCAAAATTGGGAATGGTGTATATCAAGGATATGTCCTATCTCTATACCTTTTCATTCTACGTGCAGAACAGATTATACAGGAGGTTGGGCTCTATGAGGAAGAGTGTGGCATCAGAATTAGAGGAAGACTTACCAAAAACCTGCATAATGTAGATGACACAACCTTGCTTGCTGAGACTGCAGAGGATCTGAATTGCTTGCTGCAGAAGGTCAAGGACTGCAGCCTTATTAAATGTGGATTGAAGCTCAACATCAAGAAAACAAAGATTCTCACCACTGGGCCAATTGGCAGCATCAGTATGGATGGTGAAGAGATTGAGATAGTTAATAATTGTAGTTTCCTTAGCTCCACAGTCAACACGCTTGGTACCAGCAGCCAAAAAATCAAAAGATTGAATGCATTGGGAAAGTCTGCTGTCAGGGACCTCTCTAGAGTACTGAAGAGCAACAATGTCCATCTGGAGACTAAGGTGCACCTGATCCAGACCATGGTTTTTGCAATTACTTCCTGTGTGTCAGAAAGCTGGACAGTGACTGGGATGATAGAACAAAATTGATGCCTTTGAGCTGTGATGCTAGAGAATAGTTTTGAATATGCCATGGACTACTAGGAGAACAAACGGGTTAGTCCTCGAGAGGGTAAGACCAGGCTGTTCCTTGGAGGCAGGGATTCTGGAGCTTTGTCTGACATTCTTTGGACATGTTGCAAGGAGGAACCCGTCCTTGGAGAGAAGCATCATGTTTGGGAGGGTAGAGGGACAGCGCAAGAGAGAGAAAGACCCTTGATGAGATGAATTGACTCAGTGACTAGGGTAATGGGGGTGTGTGTACCAGAGACAGTAAGGTTGGCACAGGATAGAGCGGGGTTTAGAGCTTTTGTACATAGTGTTACTATGAGTCGCAGGCACCTTGACAACACATAACAACAGCATAAAAAGGTTTCCTGAATGGTGCAAATGATTAAGTGCTGGGCTACTAACCAAAAGGTTGCCTGATCAAACCCACCCAAAGACACCTCAAAAGTCCAAGGTCTGACTCTATGCTTCTAAAATGTCATACCCCTGAAAACCCCATGGAGCAGTTCACCTCTGTATTCATGGGTTTCCCATGAGTCTGAAACAATGCAGCACCAGCAACATATATGTGTGTGCATCAGGAGCTAGATTCTCCAGATAAATATACACTGTCTATGGAACAGTACATTCACAGAGGACTACCAGAAGTACAGGCTGGCTTTAGAAGTGGCCATGGCTCTAGGGACATCATTGCCAATGTCAGATAGATCATGGCTGAAAGCAGAGTGTACTAGAAGAATGTCTATCTGTGTTTCATTGACTGCAAAGGCATTTGACTGTGTGGATCACAAAAAATTGTGGCTAACCATGAAAAGAATGGAATCACAGAACACCTGATTATGCTCATACGAAACCTATATGTGGACCCGGAAGCAGTCCTCAAAACAGAGCAAGGAAACACTGCCATGGTTTAAAATCAGGAAAGGAGTGGTCAGGGATGCATCCTGTCTCAATACCTTTTCAGTCTATATTGCAGAAAAGATCATTCAGGAGCCTGGGCTTTGTGAGGAGGAGTGTGGCATTAGGGTTGGATGAAGACAAATCAACAGTCTGCGTTATGCAGATGACACAACCTTTCTGGCTGAAATTGAGGAGGATCTAAAGCTCCTGCTACAGAAGGTCAAGGACCGTAGCCTTCAATATGGATTGAAGCGCAGCATCAAAAAGACAAAGATTCTCACCACTGGGCCAATTGGCAGCACCATGATAGATGAAGAGGATTGAAATTGATGAATTTCCGCTTACTTGGGTCCACAATCAACACTCTTGGGACCAGCAGTCAGAAAATTAAAAGGTTTGGATTAGGAAAGTCTGCTGTCAGGAAACTCTTCAGAGTGCTGAAGAGCAAAGATGTCAGTCAGTCTAGAAACTAAGATGTGCCTGATCCAGGCCATGGTCTTTGCAATCACTTGCTATGCATCGAAGAGTTGGACAGTAACTAAGGATGACAGACTTATTGATGCCTTTGAGTTGTGGTGCTGGAGAAGAGTATTGAATATACCATGAACTGCCTAGAGAACAAACAGGCAGGTCTGCTTGGCAGAGGATGAGATAAAATTGCTCTTTGGAGGCAAGGATTTTGAAACTCCATCTCACAAACTTTAGTCATGTTGCTAGGAGGAACAAGTCCTTGAAAAAGGATATTATGCTTGGAAAGTTGGGAGGGACAATACAGGCGAGGAAGACCCTGGATGAGATGGATTGACATACTGACTGGGGCAACGGGGACAGCTGTGTAGGAGGCAGTGAGACTGCCTCAGGATAGGACAGGGTTCAGAGCTATTGTGCATAGGGTTGCTATGTCTTGCAGGTGACTCAACAGCACATAACAATAACAAGTGCTTACCGTAATCCAGGCAGCCTTCTCCATACATACTGACATTAACTCATTCATCTCCATAACAGAAAGGATAGGGTTCAGAGCTATTTTGCTCTTGTCACTATGAGTCACAGGTAACTTGGCACGTAATAATAGTAACATGTTTGTGTACATGTACAAATTTACATATGTAAATATTTATGATATTTATGTTATGTATCATTGATTTGTAACCAACTCATAGGTGACCCTCTGGTGGATTCTCAGAGGCTATAAATCACACGGAAGGGGTCTGCCCATCCTTCCCCTGCAGAGCAGCTGGTGGATTCGAACAGCATGCCTTTGGGTTGGCAGCACACTATCTCTCTGAGGCTCATCTCCTCTATCTTTAAAGCAGAAGATGTTTATCATAGTCAATTCTTAGAAAAGAGTCAATACATCTGCAAACATACACAAAGCCTAGCAGTTTCTCCACATGAATGCTCTGACAGTTTTTCAGTTAGAGCGTGGATTTGTCACTGGTTTGGGGTTTCGTGGCTTTTTTTTTCTTGGTGCTAACCTGTGCTTTATACACATTTTTAAAAAAAATTGCAGAGAGGGAAAATGCTTTATTTAATGGACTTATCCAGTTTTTCTATTTGTTCAATTCTTTAACCTGCGGCCACGGGCGTTAGGTTTCAAGTGTGATCTTTAGGCCCCTGGTTTAAAATGTGTACTGTGACCTGTGCCCAGACCACTAAGTGGACCTCTTGGGGGTCCCAGGAGTCCTCCTGTCCAGTACCAGAATCCTAGTGCTCCAGACCTGAGAGAGGCTGTCGCTGGGCTAAGCAGAGAGGTGTGAGTGTCTTCATGGACTTACCTCAGCTGTTCTCCCAAGGTTTTCAGAGTCAGGTCAGGGTTTTTTGTTATCTTTTGTGTTGTTTGTTAATTTGTGTTACTCTTAGCACTGAAATACCTATCTATCTGTAATTTTTTACAACCCTTCCCTGCCCACCCATGCATCTGTGAATGCTAGGTGGGTAGCGCTGAAGGAACACGTCCAAGCTCAGCCTGTTTGGAGTCAGGTCAGTTTTGAGAAACCATTTACAAAGCCCCTTCCTGTCCTCAAAAAGCCTGGTGGCATAGCGGAGTAAGTGGTTGAGCTGCTATCCAAAAGGTCGCTAGTCCAGACCTGCCATGGAAGCAGTCTGCTTCCGTTAATTAAGCTTTACAGCCTCAGACCCCCGGTGGGGCAGCAGTTCTGTCTTACAGGGTTACCGTGAGTTGGGATCGTTTCACTGGCACTGGGTTTGGTCCTGTTGTTTCTTCCATACAGAATGGAAGATGCCAGGAGCAAGAGAGCCAGAAGCTGGGAGTGTTCACAGATGAATCCAGGGGCCCAAACTGACTCAGCTGTGAGACTCGGATTAGAACTAAAGGCCTCAACTTCTGTATTGCTTTTTGCTCCGTGGTCCCCAAGTTAAGATTCTAAAAGGCAGTATCGGAAAGGTCCTTGACTTGCATAGCATTTTAGAAGGCCTGAGAGAATTCACCTCTTTCCCGGGTGATATTGGCAGCTCTGAGCCAACATTCTATCAGCCTAGTGTTCAGCTCTGGTGACTTCATGCTTATCAGAAGCTGAGTCATCTGTTTCTCATTCATGCCTCTGTCTACTCATCCCTCCATCCGTCCATTCATTCAGTGAGCGTCTGTCGCCATCCGCTCCGTACCAGGCTCGGTACAAAGCTCTGGGGACACAGATGAGTAAGATGCCATCACTGACCGCAACAGCCAGGCCTGGTCCAGTGAGGATGATAAGAGTTACAGTGAGAGATTGGACTGCAGGAAGGAGGTGGGGAGGACAAGCTGCTAACCGAAAGCTGAGGTTTGAATCCACCAGCTGCTCTACGAAAGATGAGGTAGTCTACTTCTGCATGGATTTACATCCTTCAGAGCCCTGGGGTGGGGGTGGGAGAAGCAATTTTACCTTGTCCTATAAGATCACAGAGTCAGAATGACCAACAAATAATTAATGGACAATAAAGAAAATTTGTCTCATATGAATGGAAAATAAGCCAGTTCTTCATCGATGCCATTTTTCTAGTAGGTGGACTATTTCTGGTTAAAACCTAAACCAGACTTTTTTTTTTTTGTTAACATTATTTATTCATCGTCCAATTCCTCCCCCCCCCCCATTCATTCACTGTTGCACTTTTCTCCCCTCCCAACCCTCCCCCCTAGTACACTACCCTCTTGGAAAAGTAAAAGAAAAATCCTTTCATTGTTTTACAAACCCTCCCCCAGGTCTACTCCACTATGCAGCCTTTGCTCTGGACTCCTGTCATGACAAAAATACCTTATCACATATCCCTTTTAAACAGTTTTCTCCCTCATCTGTTTCAATGTAGTATACATTATTTATCCCATCTTTCTCAGTTTCCCCCAACCCCGATGTCAGTCCTGTTTTACAACAGTGGCACTATGCAGTATTTGTCCTTTTGTGACTGAGCTACTTCACTCAGCATAATGTCCTCCAGGGTCACCCATTTTGAATAATATTGCATGAGTTCCTTGTTTTCCAATCCAGCGTAGTATTCCTTTGTGTGAATATACCAGAGCTTCTCTATCCGTTTGTTTGTTGATGGGCACTTAGGTTGTTTCCAACTCCTTGCTATTGTGAACAAAGCCGCAGTAAGCTTGGGTGTGCATATGTCTGCTTGGATGTCAGTTATGGTCTCTTTGGGGTATATTCCCAGTAGTGGAATTGCTGGGTCAAATGATATCTCTATTTGCAACTTTTTGAGAACGCGCCACACCGCCTTCCACAGTGGTTGCATCATTTTACACTCCCACCAACAGTGAGAAAGAGTTCCAGTTTCTCCACAACCTCGCCAGCATTTGTTACTTGCTATTCTATTAAACATTGTTTTAAAAGTGAAAAAAATAACCAAATAATTCCAGAGGATGCTTCATTAAAAGTTATTTTTTCATAGTGGAGTGCATTCAGGGTGGGGGCGGGAGGAGTGTATACCAACAAAGAAGTTTCTCTTTGGCTTTTCAAAGAAAGGCATGAACTGGTGGGAGTGGGGTTAGAAAAAGAAGTGCAACAATGAATGAATGGAAATCCAAAATCTCTGTAAATGTTCATTAAAATTAATAAAATAAAAACCAGCCAAAAAAAAGTTATTTTTCAAATCCTGCCTTTCTCCACACTATTAATATTTCTTGCTCTCTTTCCAGAAAAGTTTTCTATATGTTCACATATACATACATAGAGAGAGAGAGACAGACCTGTCATTTACTCTTGAGAACTAGGTTCTTTTCATCTCTCAGAGGTCGTCTTCCCTCAGCAGTCTGTAATGGTTGATGGATGTGTGGGTTGCTTCCACAGTGTTACTATTTTGATCAGTTCAGGATGGAAGAGCCTCCTGTCAAGTGGAATATTTCTGTTCTTAGTATCCAAGGGGTGGTGATTGTGTCGTAGCTGACCCTCCAGGGGTTTTCAGAGACAGTAAATCGACTAGGAGGAGATTGCCCATCCTTCTTCAGCAGAGCACCTGGTGGATTTAAACGATGGGCCTTTGGGATTGCAGTGTGGCTTCTTACCACAAAGGCACCAGAGCCCCTTTAGTTCCTCTAAGGGGAACTGTGAAGATTAGAGAATTCTCCTGGTAGAAAAATTATGTAGGGGGGGAAAAGCTGCTCATACCCCACCTTCATCTTGCATATCCTTCCTACAGCTCTTGCCTCCCACGACTACATCCTGAAGATCGTGCCCACAGTTTATGAGGACAAGAGCGGCAAGCAGTGGTATTCTTACCAGTACACAGTGGCCAACAAGGTGCGTGGGGTTGGTGGTGGGCCTTGGCGTGTACAACAGTGCCCTCTGCTGGCGGAGAGCAGGGATGGCAGTGTTGTTAAGTGCCTTCCAGGGGATTTAGTGACCCTGTGAACAATGGATCTGGACTCTGTCCGGCACTGTCCATCCTCACCATCTCTGACACACTCTAGCCCCCTGTGATTGTTACAGTCACTGTGTCAGTACATCTCTTTGAGGCTTTTCCTCTTCAGGAAGCCTTTCCCATGGCTGCCCTGGGCCGGCTCTGTCTCTGTCTAAAGGTGGACATCCCAATTCCTACCATCAAGGTGCGTTCAAGAGTCAAGGAAATAAAATCTGACCAGAATCCCAGTGTGATCTGTTTGAGGACGAGCAGGCAGGGGACCTCCCTGAAAAGTTGCAGGCGTTGCCATCATCGCCACACCTGAACTTGGCCCCGATCCTTCACCTTCAGACCACGAGCTCTTAGAACTTGGGGGCTGCTCCCGTTCTTCCAAAATCACAAAGCAGGTGACTCTAACTGGGACAGCCATTGATGTCAGGCTGTTACCAGGGTTACCCCCAGGAACCAACACAGCCTCAGGGAGGGGTAGGGGGCGGGCGGGCCTCCGTGGAAAACAGAGCGTGGTGGAATGGGATGACCTGGTCGCAGAGACAGCCTTGGGCTTCCCTTGAAAAGACATTGCCAGTGGGACATTCATGTTGATCAGGGTAGCCCCACTAGACCCTGGCAGGTAACACTGCCCTCCTCTACCACCAGGACACTCCTTTTCTTTCTGTTCCAAAAGTCTAAGTGATACAGTGTTTGTTGTTGTTGTTGTCATTGTGTGCTGCTGAGTCTGAATTGACTCATAGCTAATGCTTCAGCAGGTTTTCAGAGGCCGTGAATCTCACAGGAGGAGATTGTTCCTTTTTCTCCTGCAGAGCAGCTGGCAGCTTTGAATAAGTGAAAGAGCTCAGATGGTGTACTACATAAGGTGCTGAGCTGCTAACCAGAAGGTTGGTAGTTCAAATATACCAGACTTTTGAGGCAGAAAGATGAGCAGGCTCCTTCTATAAAAATTTGCAGCACTGGAAACTCTGTGGAGGATGCTTGTGAACTGGACTCAGCTCAGTGGCAGTGGTGTAGTGCCAGCAGGAGGAAGAACTATTGTTTATTGAGCACTTATTGTGGGCTAGGTACTGTGCCTATCTCAATCATCTTTTTGAATCATCACGATAGTTCTGAGGTTGAGATTACTATTGTTCCCATTTTACAGATTTGGCCCTCAAGGCACAGAGAGGTGATTGTAGAGCTTTAAAGTGGCCTAGGGGGTGCTTAGAAACAGGTCCTTTTTTATCATAGCATCACCAACTCATTCTTAACAAGAGGGCATTGAGTCTGCCAGCCTGATTACTACCCTACTCTCTGTCAGCAATGTGGTGTCCCTCTGCTCTGGTCTTCCTGGGTTGATTTTCCAGCCTAACTCTCTTACGAGAGTCCTCGCTTTCAGGTGATGTTTTTTGGGGCCTCGAAGGCTTAAAGCACCTCATGGCTAGCAAAGTGTGGATTCATTGTGAGCAGAACGTGTAGAGAGCATGGACTCTGGACCACACAGCCTGGGTTCACCGCTCAGCCTAGCCTTTCACTAGCTGTGTAATCCGGGACAAGTCACAGCACCCCTCTGAGTCTCAGTTTACTCATTCTTAAATGTGACTATTACCCACCTCATAAGACTGTAGTCAGATGAGGCAATGTTTTCAAACCTGCTGGTACCTACTGTGTCTGTTTCTCCTTATTTGTCTCTGTTATTAGTCTGGGCTATGACCCAGACAGTCGCCCTGCCCTATCAGCTCTCCCTGGAGAAGGCTGAGCTCTCTGTGCTCAAGGCTTCTTCCCCAAGGCTTTGGCAAGGACTCGGCTGCCAAAACAGTTTGCTCAGCTTTCTCTGTGGCTCCAGCCTCAGGCTACCCGGGGAGCGACACTGTTCCCCAGGCTGGCAGTGGTCAGATAGGGGTGAGGTCTCTGTCATCTGTCTCTCTGAGCTCAGGCCCTGGCATGGAGGGATGGGGGGTCCCTCAGGGGTTCAGTATGGCTCTGGCTCCCTTTGCTGCAGACCAGGAAGATGAGTCCAGAGGTTTTCTACATTCTGAAGTGTCCAAACCAGAGGGATTCTGTGGGCCAGACAAGGCCCTGGCAGGGAGAAAGACAGGCCACGGCACATTGTATCTTCAGCTCCTTAGCATCCTTCAAGTGCCTGCTGTGTAGAGAAGCTGTGTCCTACTCTCCAGTCTGATTGTTTTAAGTTGTTTTTTAAAAAGCAGCTCACTCCCCATGTTTGCTTTGATTCCCATCTGGTACATGTGTGCACATACACATGTGGATGTGTGCACACGTGCAAACACACTCCTGTTCTATCAGGTGTAGCTCAGACTGCCCACCCCTGAGGAGGACTGAGTGTTGTTTCAGGGCCCCAGCTACCACAGGGCCGGCCGGCACAGGGGAGTTCCTCAGCCATCGGTTTGTTGAATTAGTGAAGGGACTTCGGGTGGTCCTGGGGTTGAAGAGTATAAAAAAGAAGAAAGAAATGGGCCTTTATGCTGCCTAAGCCAAACCATACTTTTTGCTCTTTCTGTCACTGCTCTAAGGGATGTCTAGTGGCACAGTCCAAAGGCAGCAGCTCACTGCCGGTTTGAATCTCCCAGGGGCTCTGCGGGAGAGAACTGGGCAGTCTCCTCCCGTGCGATTTACAGCGAGTTCTTACTCAAAGGGAGTTTGAGTATCACTGCTCACATTTTTATTCTGGGGCAGCTTACAGCTTGCAGGGTCAGTTTCCACACAGTAAAGGGTCAGTAATGGTCTCTGGTGGTACCTCTGTTGGTATGTCAGAGCACAGAGCCCAGAAGCTGGGGACATGGGCGAAGGGCAGGGTTCTGAGAGGGCTACTTCTGCAGTGGAGACAGGAGACAGGAAGAAAGCCGGGTGGGAAGTGTTGTTGGGAGTCCTTCCAAATCCAGGCTGTGCCCTCAACCAGGAGACTCTTTGTGCCACAGAGTCTAATAACACCTTTTGTCCCCTTCACCCCAGGAGTATGTGGCCTATAGCCACACGGGCCGCATCATCCCAGCCATCTGGTTCCGCTACGACCTCAGCCCCATCACGGTCAAGTACACGGAGCGCCGGCAGCCTCTGTACAGGTTCATCACCACGGTGAGTGCGTGGGACGGAGCTCCCAAGGGCTCCGGGCTGTGGCTCCCGGGACACAGCCCATCTCCACTGACAGTGTGGCATCCAAAAAGTATTTTCTAGAATGAATGACACAAAATCAGCTTAATCCCTTAAGTAATACTTTATGTGATTAAGTAAGTGTTTATATGGTTCTCCAAGTGTGTTTGCATATCCTATTCTTACCAGGGTTTTATCCTTTTCTGTGTATATTTTGTAATGAAGATTTAGCTCTCTCTTTTTTTGTATGTTTCATTTCCATTTGTAGCTGCTAATATTGTCAGGCTTTACTTCTCTCCCATTCCTGTCTGATCAGTTATTTCTTTGTTTGTTTATTTTGTTTTTTCCCTTACCTTGCTTTTACTTGCTTTTTTTCCCCTCCCTGCCATTGTGTGTACTTAAGTCCAATTTTCATCGGGCTGCTTTCACTGATGTCACTTTTCTATTGTGCTGATTATTTCTTTCAAGTCTCATATTTCCTGGCCAGCCATTCAAAATGACCTTGGGGTCAGAATGCCCAGCTTCAGCTTAATCAGCCTATCAGATATTTGGGTAAGCCAGAGTCAGCTGAGAGGGAAGAGTGGGGTGAGTTTTGCTACCCCCGTTGGAAAGTAAGCATTACAAATAAATCAGTATACTATTGAAAGGCTCTTACGCTTCTATATCTCTTAATATTTCTTAATAATAATTCAAGTCGGGAATTCAGTCATGGTTCTCCTGTTTCCTGTTGTTATTGTTAGATGCCCTTAAGTCAAGTAGGACTCATAGCAACACTGTGAACAACAGATCTGAACACTGTCCTATCCTGCGCCATCCTCACACTTCCTGACACACTAAGGACCATTGCAACAGTCACTGTGTCAACCCACCTGGTTGGGGGTCTTCTACTGTGCTTATCAGAAAGAGTAATCTTCAGAGAACTGCTACAAATCATTAAGAAAAAGAATAGCAATAAAAAATGGAAAAGAGGTCAGGGCTCAGGACTGACTGCAGAGCAAGAGACCTATTGATAGTGAAAAGATACTCAAGGTCACTAGATACTGAGGAAGAGAGATATAAAACAATGAACCAGTTCAGTGCTCTCAGACAATGGAAACCTGCCATTATAAAGACTGAGAGGATGTGGACCAGAGAGAATGGGACATACTAACACTGTAAAAGGAAATTGGCCCAGCCACTTTGGTCCACACAGACCCTTTGATCCCAAAATTGGATTTGTGAGCAAAGCTCTAAAAGGCTTCAAAGAGAAGATCTCAGTTCTGATTGTCACTGTATCACTTTTATGCAGAATAAGATACAGAAACTAGAGGCAGATATGTGAGCCAGTGGTGGTTCAGTAACAGAATTCTCAAGTCCTATTTACGGGAGACCCAGGTGTGGTTGTTAACCAGTGTACCTCATGTGCAGCCCCCATTCGTATGTTGAGGCTCGTGCATTGTTAAGATACAGAACAGCTTCTTGACTAAGTCTGATAAGAAAGGCCTGGCAATCAACTTTGACAATCAGCCAGTGAAAACCCTGCAGATCACAATAGTTTGGTGTGTTGTACATGGGGTTGGTGCCGTAAAGAATCGACTCAACAATAGCTAACAACAACATTAACGAAATACAAGGGAATGTCTCCATGCAGGCACCATGGCCTACCCCTCGGAGACCTGGGCATCTTTGACATTAATAATGAAATCGAAAACCCCCTACATCAACCTGTAGGATGGGAAGGTCCTTGTATGCCACCTTCCCATGTGCTTCAGTATGGTAGACCCTTCTTAGACTAATGCGTGAAGAAGAGGTTCAGCAAAGGGAGTGTTGGATGCAGAGCCACTCATCTGAGCCTGTTCTGGTGCAGGCCACATGGTCTCCTTTGGGGAGGCCTTGACTCCCCATCAAGCTCTTGACCTTCTAAGAGAGAGAGGTTCCAGGAAGTCACAGGGGAAGGGCCTGTCCTTCATCACCCCAAGCTCTTGACCTTCTAAGAGGGAGAGGTTCCAGGAAGTCACAGGGGAAGGGCCTGTCCTTCATCACCCCAAGGTCAATGCCTTCATGACTCCCCTTCCTCTGATCCACAGCCTTTCCTCCATTTCTGCCTCCTCTAGCATGTAAACCAGTGAAATCTGTGACTAGTGGGCCATGCAGGGAGCCTTCCCTACATGGTTTGAACCAGTCACGGTCCAGTCACCTGAGACTCCTGGTGGCCCCACGTGTGTCCAGGTAGAACTGTGCTACTCAGGATTCTCAGACTGCTTTTCCACCAGGCTTTTCTTGTGAGGCATCTCTGGGTGGACTGGAACCTCCAACCTTGTAGTTAGCCGCGAAGACATTAACCGTGTGTACCATCCAGGCTCCCACCAACTGGTTGGGCTGGTGGTTTTCCTGAAGGCCCCACACCGTCATCATGGTTACCATGGCAACCCTGAGGGGTCAGCTCCAAATGAGCCAGCCGGCTGTCCCTGGCAGATGGCGTCATTGTGGAGCTTCAAAGGCCCTTGTCACAGGACAGCAGATGCAAGGATGACGCTAGAACACACGTACACACAGCATGGAGACGCCTGGGAGCCCTTAGAGGACGGGATGCACATGGAATGGGAGTGGAGGCACCTGCTGTGGCTTCTTGTCTTCTTTTTAAAATCAAACACTTGCGTGCCACATCCCAGACCTCCAAATGCAAGCCCCTGCAAATAGCTCCTCAGACGGGCTGCTGAAGAGGGGGCTTAGGCCCGGATGTCGTCATATGGCGGCTGTGGGGCCAGGGAGGCAGCTGAGGGTGGGCCTGGAATGAGGAATGGGTGTAGCTGAGTAGGCGGGGGCTTGGAGGGGAGAGGCAGATGGGGCCCCCAGCTGCATTTGAGTCTCAGAATACCTCGCTTACATATCATCCGCCAGGTCTTAGAGAATAGGAAAGACTTGTTTACACACAACTTGAATAGTTCCTCCACTGGGAAGCCTTCTCTGGTCAGCCTGGGGTCCTTCTCTGGGGCCACCAAGACCACTTTCCCAGACCTCTGCTTTGTGCTGTGCTAGAAAATTCTATCACAAAAGGAATAAGCAGATCATATTTAACAGTATGCAAGTGATCGCCTTCTGGGTGGCCCCCTCCCACACATGCATTTGTTCCCTGCTTCACCACTTGCTGAAGCTCCTTTTTGAGATTGCCTTCAAGTGGACTGTGGTGACAGATTGGATGGCTTTGGGAGTGTCCAATCTCTTTCCTTGTGTAATTTTTTTTTTTCTTTTTTTGAGGGAACAACCAGAAGTCACAAAGTACCAAATTGGGCCATTATGCCTGTGACCATTTTTACCAACCTCTAGAATTTACCAGCTGGCACGACATGTTCCCTGGAACTCTCCACAAAGCTTGTCATTCTTTTTTTTTTTTTTTAAAGCTTGTCATTCTTGAGAAGTTATACAGCTCGTATTAACTGAAGTGGAATCCAGGGTTCTTGGGCCCAACTCAACCTAGGAATGAAGAGAGCTGGTGCAGTCAGACTTGTCGGCCCACCTTCCTCTCTACGACTCTGCCCTTTGTCGTTATTGTTAGAAGCTGCCACATCTACCCCAACTCACAGTAACCCCATACACAACAGAGCCAATGCTACTCAATACCGTTGTGATCCACAGGGTTTCCCTTGGTTGATTCTCCATAGATTCCCAGGCCTTTCTTCTAGTCTGTTTTGCTCTTAAAGGTCAGCTTAAACCTGTGAAACATCATAGCAACATACGGGCCACCCCTGACCTGTCCACTCTCTCCACACCTCACCAGTGGCAGCAGCCCCAAGCTCTAGATTGCCTGTGTAGTAGTTCTGGGTCTGGCTCACTTAACTGTCCTCAGAATCCAGCATAGGGCTAGTGTGGACACGAGTGCTCAGAAATGTACAAAGCATAACTACTTGAACAGAAACCCTCATAGTTATTCTTATTAACCACTACTGTGTGCTGTAGAATTTTACAGTTGCCTCCTTTACCCCTCCAGCAACCTCTAAGGTGAGTAATTTTGGTTCTGTTTTATATTAAGTTAAATAAGACTTAAAGAAGTGAAGTGGTTCATCCAAGATCATACAGCTAGCAAATGGCAAGGCTGGAACTTGACCCCAGCCCTGCCTCTGCTGCCCCCAGTCCACCCCTGGTTTGAATAGCCTCATCTCTTAAGGCTTTTCCACCACAAGAGCTCCAGAAGCCATGGAGCCCTTGATAAGTGTCTTAGTTAACTATTGCTGCTGTAACAAGTGGATGGCAAACTGACATTTATCTCTCACACTTTGGGAAGTTAGAAATCTGAATTCAGGGTGATAGCTCTAGAAGACGGCATTCTTTCTTTGTTGGGTCTGGCCTTTGTCTCCTTTCAACATCTGTGGGCCTGGCATTCTTTAGTGTGTTGCCATTAGTCTTCCTATAGGTCTAGGAGGTTCTCAGCACAGGACCCTAGATCCAAAGGACATTTCTCCTCCCAACTCTTCTTTCTTGATGATACTGAGATCTTTCCTTGTCTGCTTACATCTCTTTATTTTAACTCTTCTAAAATAAAAGGTGATATAAGCCACATAGATAGATGCCACTTAAATCCAATCAGAGCTGTGGCCTGACTGAGTAAGAGCATCACATCCTCCCTCAGTCCCCTTACATCAGGTCACATCATGGGGAATGATGACATATCTGCAGACTACTGAGAATCATGGCCCAGCCAGGTGGACACAGATTTCTGGGGGGACACAATTCAATCCCTGACAGTAAGAAACCAGGATCATCTGATAAATGGACTTTCAATCCACTGAATCAGGAAGAATATTTTTGGAGCACAAAGTGCCACTAGCCTGACCTTGAAAGCTTAAACCCGCTGACTCTGTCCTAGAAAGCCCTAAACCTGAAACTGAAAGCTTAAGGGGGGGGGGGGGTGGCAGGGGAGAAATATTATAGTCAGAAGCAAGCACACACATATACTCTTTGAAAATACACACAGTCTGTTCGAGGCTGGTTAGCTAAAAGTTTTCAAG